GGTAAATAAATAATTTTCTTAAGTATAGAAATTTATCTATTATGTCCAAATGCGTAATATAGTGCATAACACTATATGGTTGGTTAGATTTCTTTTTAACACTCTCAAAGGAAAGTCTTAATTGCAAAATAAGTATATTAGGAGTTTAGTCTTTATAGTTTTTCATTTATAAGAGGAATTTCGTCGTAAAATATTTCAATCTAACAGAGAATTTTGATCAACTCTCCTTTATAGTCCAAGATTTTTCTTCTGTTTTATTTTATTTTTAATTTCAAATATAAACTAAGAAGTGGCACGACCATATGTACATGTTTGCATATTTTTGTCTCTGTACGTATGTATATGCATGTATATATTCACACATATTCATGCACGTCATATGTATATTGATTAAAAGTATCAAATTTAAAATTGAATCTTATAATTGAAAAGTTAATGAATTATTATATTCGTTAATCATTTAATATATTTTTTAATTTCGTCAATAAAAAATAAAAATCTATATGAACATAGTTATTAAAGAAAATTTTAGTTGTTATTAATCATTTCTACAATTTACTTGCAGCCATCTGATGGAGATTACTGATGATCCAAAGATGAGTATAGACTTAACACTCCTTTAATAAGAGAAAAGTTAAAAACTGCAGACTTTGATATTGGAGCTGACGATAAATAAGAACCTTATGAGATGATTTATATTTCTTTAATGCACAATATTTTTCATACATTACAAGGATATATTAGTTTTAAAATTTTAAATAAATTTTCGTTAATAGAAAACAAAACAAGAAATATTATTTTAATTGTGTTGAACATTTATATAAAAGGATAGTTTTTTAATTATCATTAAGTGCACACATAAACATATTAAAATATTACAAACTTATATATATAATATAAGGTTTTCTTGGATTAGATTAAATTGCAATTAAATCCACAACATTTATTGTCATTAAATAAATATAGATTTCTTTACCTAACTTGTTATATATATATATAAATATATTGCAGAATATAAAATAAGGAAATGGTTTTATGAGTAGGTAAAGGCATGTATTGGAAGGTAAAAAAAAAAAGAAAAAAAAAGGCTGTAGATGGGCTAGAAAAATATAAAATAATAATTTATTTAATATAAAACAAAAAATGTCAAATTCAATAAAATATGATTTTTATGAAAAATAATAATAAAAAAATGAAAAGGCTATCCACTCAAAGAGAATCAGTGTACATGACCCTTCACCATTAAACCCTTTTCTACTATTTATACCCACCCTTTTGTGCTTTCTTCATCCCCCAACATACATTTCTCAATCTCTTTTGTCTCTAAATCTATTTTTCTCGCTCAATCTCTCTTTCTCTCTCTTTCTCAATCCTCTCCAAATACATAAGATGTCGTCGATTTCATCTGAAACTGAGACCCTAAATCTCACTGGTTAGGAAATCCAACCATTTTCAGAAAAAGTTGTAGCAGGAGTTGCTGCAGATCAGGATTCAGCCAAAAAAAGAAGGGCATGGTTTAGTATTACTAATCGAGTGCAAAAATTCATCGGGGTAAGTTTTAGATTATGCTGATATGTAAAGGTTTCGATTGTTTTATATTTTTGAGAATTTTTTTAAAAGGTTTCATCTTGAAACAGAAAATCATGAAGGAGTTTAGAGAAAAGGTGAAACAAGAAGAAAAAGAGAATGAAGCCTGTCAAGCCGCACAAGCAGACCAATTAAATACAGAGGGGATTCATATTGCGGTAGAGGCTGAGCCAGCGATTCCTCTTTCTTTCAAGAGACCTGGTGAGCAAGACATCCACCCTTTTGAATCTTCTCAAATGGTACTTCCACGATCTCTCTCTCTCTCTCTCTTTAGATATATATGAAACAATTTTACATATTCGATTTTTTAGATAATAGAGTTATTAGTGGCAATTAATTTGTAGGGAAATCAACACAAACGCAGAAGACAAGGTAAGTGTCTAGTAGCTGGAACCACTGTAGTTTCCTTTAGTCTTTCAAAAGATCTCCTCGCCCTGGCTGATAATATTGATCTGGTTAGTAAAATTATCATCACTTAATTCTCTATGATTGTCTTTTAAGTCAAATGAGTTTTGTTAATGGTAAATTTTCTTATTGACAGTATGTAACGGCCCCGAAAATTTAGAATGAAATATGTATATTAAAAATATCAAATGCGGAAGCGTAATAAAAATTTTGATTAACATCCCTTACACTAAAACCAAAAACGTGCTCAAAATATAAAAGAACAAACTAACTAAAAGAGATACTCGAAAATAAGAACTATAAATATAACTACGGAGTCTTTAGGCGTCCCCTTCGCTGTCTTCCTGCGGAACGGGCTCGGGAACAACGTCTTCTTAATCTGAAATAGTTAAATAAGGAATGAGCTACACCAGCCCAGTAAAGACATCACACTATCTCACCGCCACGGAAGTAAAGGTGGGTAGAAAACACAAAAAGACCAATGGAGCATAATTTATAATAAACTCGTTTATTAACATAAAAACCTTTACTGTCCACTTACCTCGGTGAGGTCCATAAAACAACATATGAAAGCAATAACATTATCATCATCATGAAATCATATGAACTGTATAACAAAATACTTACCACGCCTTTGCGTTTCAATAATTAAACAACACATTTTCCTCATTTACCAGTCTACTAGTATCCATGGGGATCCATAGGGGTCCCGCTACCCGTGAACCGTTAACATTTATAACCTGATTCCAGAGTCATCTCCATACCTCGTTCGGTATGGGCACCAAAACCATGAACCTCAATACCCCGTCCGGTATGAGGGTGAAATGGGCCGTCCCCATACCCCGTCCGGTATGGGCGCCAAAACACATAAGATCTCCATACCCCGTCCGGTATGAGAGACCACGTTCCCGGTAGGGTTCCCTACGGACCCGGTTCATCCACCATCTCCTAGGATATCTAGTCAGGCTGTTCATATTATTCACTATCAATTCACATAACCTTTTTGACATTTTTCTTGATTTCAATAAACCAAACACACACAACATGTAAACCAGTAATGGACACCAAACAAGACAACACAGTATCGGGTTAAGCATAATACCGACCATAATAAGGAAACCATGATTCATGCATATGGGACCATAATATAATTACATCAAACATCATACTGCATTTAATACTGAAAATTAAATCAAACAATAATAGACCAACACAGTATCAGACTCGGGCTCCATTGGCAACCTAAATCAATTATACATCTATAAAGTCACACAGTACAGTTTAATTATTTATTTAGCTTTAATACCATGATAGGAAATAGGGTGAGGGGTCCTTACTTGTTTCAGGGTCTGAATATGGCTTTACAGTGCGCCTACAGGCTGTCCCTAATTTTTCCTGAATTTTTTTCGGGGAACTGAAACGCACTACTGGTAACTGCACGTGTCCCAAAAAATCCCAAATTAGACCTAGGGCCCCTTTCAGCAAATATCGCAATTCTGGCACGGCGGCTCCGCCGTGCTCTGGCGACGGCGCCGCCGCAAGCGGCGGCGATTTGCCTCGGGTTGGCTATTTTCGGTCGAATTCGGCCACACTTGTATCGGTCCTTACGATAGAACAACCCTAGGGCCCTAAGTGGGCCGAAAAATTACGAAAAACTGAAACTTACCGGCGGCGGTGCTCTCGAGTGCTGCGGCTCCTCCGGCGTGAGTCGCGTTTTGATGTTTGGCTCTGATCAACCTGTAGAGAAAAGAACGGTGATCACAGTGGTATTAAATTTGCATCAAACGGAGGCCGGGAAGGGCCTCATCGGAGGCAAAAATCGAGGAGGGGCGCGGCGGCGCCGCTGGGTTTCAGTTGGATTTTCTGGCCGTTTGGCCGGTGGTTTGGCTCCGGTTTGGCCATAGGCGGACTCAACATCAAAAAACGAGCAAGGGGGAGAAAAATTACCTCGATCGGCGCTCGGAAACTTCCCTGGTGCGGCGGTGGGTGGCGACAGCCAGCTCCTCCAGCGTCTAGTTCTTCTTCTCCGGCGAGCAGTGGCTGCTAGGGTTTCTTTGGTCAGGTGTGGGTGGCTGTATTTATACCCTTTGCCTTTTAATCTTGACCGTCCATCAAGATTGAATCTGGACCGTCCGATCACGATTTAATTGGGATTAAATCTGGGCCGTTCATCGCGTGCAATCTTGGCCGTCCGTGCGCGTGGATCTGGGCCGTCCGATTGTGCGCACGCGGATCGCCCACGTGGCCCGTTCCCTGGTCAGCGTTGCCTTGCCACGCGGTGTGTTCTGGTTGGCCGGGGCTGCTGACCGGGCTGCTGACGTGGCCGCTGGCGTGGTGCTAACGTGTCACAACTTTTCTAAATTGCGTTTTGACCTCTGGTTTTCGATTTTCTTTTCAAAAACACCCCCAGAATCCAAATTTTCACCCCTTTTTCCCAAACTCAATTTCAATTAAGTCCAAATAATATTTTTACCCAATTTTATCATTTTTATTATTTATATTTTCAGTGAATTAAATTAACTAAGTTAAATAAAAAATCAAATAAATAAAAAAAAGAATATTATTTGGGTGTTACACAGTACACTCCCAAGCTTCTCCTTCAACCCACTGCAAATCGCAGATACACAATCCAACAAAGAACTGAAGGGTGGACCATTGAGAAACAGTGACGGGACACTAAAATATGTGATACAGTAAGTTGCTTTTAGTTTTTCTAACTTAACAAATTGGTTTTTTAGAGTACTATATTCATTTTAAAATAGAAAAGAGTTCTTGATAATATTTATATTCATGTCGGACTGTAGTATTATATTCATCTAGAATCAAAGTGATTGTTCCGATAAGTCATCGAGTGACTGATTTTATACTATATGAAATCTATCCGAACAAACCAACTCCGAAACCAAGGAAGAAGAATATGCAAGAAGCAGTTCTATAGTGCCACTAGGAGAAAGGAAGAAGGTCGATAGGCCAAGGAAGAATAAGGAGGATGGGGAACAAGGGAGCAGTACCTCAGTGAAGAGGAAGGTGGTGGATGGAGAACAAAAGACTTCTTCTGTATGTTGGTTTTGAGTATATATATATATATATATATATTGCACTTAGTTAGAATAGGTCATGGATGTATAGAGTCTTGACTAAAATATGCTTTGCTTTCCTGTTAATTTGTAGGTGCCAATAGAAGAGTAACAACTGAACGACGTGGCAAGGGAAGATCATTGATGAAGTAAATAAATTAATATAAGAGACTAAAATTAGTACTTTCACTCTTGAGCAGACTATTAGAATTAACTTCTTTTACCTTGTTGTATATATGGTGAAGTAACATATTTAACCTTATTATGTAATATGTAAAACAATGAACGACATAAACCATTTATCAGTCTTCCTTAGCCAACCTTTTTTTGTATATTTTATATGATTTTCTTGTCAACATATCCTTCTTGGCTGTTTACATAATAATGACAATAGAAAATAAATATGAATAAACATAAAGTCAAGAAGTATGATAGGTACTGTTTTATTTTCTATGACTGATTACATTAATGGTAAATTGTCATGGAGATGTAAAAGCTCATCATACTTTAAAAAAATATTAGAAAAATTAGATATGTAGCAAAAAAAATTATTTTCATCAAAAAATTCAATGTTAGAAATTATTTTTTAACTATGTACCACTTTTTTATCATTTATTTTCATAAAAAAAGCTATGAATTCTCAAATGGACAATTTTCTTAACATTTATAGCAAACCTTTTATTAATCACATTAAACTTAATTCCATGTACTATGCTGTGATTTCATAATATTGCATATTGAGATATTTTATCTCACCCCCCTATCACTGTCTAGATATTGAAGATACCACTGCAGAGTGAGTAGCTATACGAAAAAAATTTCTGAAGTCTAGTCTCTGATATTAAGGTTACTGTTTCGTATTTTTATTTAATAATGTAAGTAAAGAAATTTAGAGTCTCGTACATATGTTTATGTTTTATATTTAAGGGATGTAACGCTTATGCGACTCTTTATTATTAATAAAATTAATTTATTTTACTTAACTTGAGTCTATATGATTTAAAAAAGTATGCTTCGATCAATAGACGGGGTGTGGGAAACATAAGGAAATGTCTCTAAATTTAAATTTCATGAATGCAGGAAATGACAAGGATACCGAGAGAGGAGACACATTGGATTCCAGAAGACCGGATCGAGTAGAGTCTAGATAGACTCATGCATATAGTCGAAGGCTACGCCATGGTGGTAACTCAATACGTAGTCCATAGCCAAAGTGCTACAAATAGTAACAATACTAGTACCAGTAACACATAGCCGATGGAGAAAAATAATGAAAAACTCATTGAAAGATTTAAAAGAATGAACCCGCCATCATTTACTAGAGCAACCGACCTGATATTAGCCGAACAATGGATCATGGAGTTAGAGAAGATATTTGATGTTCTTAGCGCCACTTTAGAGCAAAAGGTACAATTAGCCACATTCATGTTCAAGGGAGCTGCAGAACACTGGCGGTGCCTGAAGAAGGGATCGCTGATGACACCGATCCTTTGGGAAGTATTTGGAGCGGCATTCTACGAGAAGTATTTCCCTGACTTTGTTTGAGAACAAAAGCAAATGGAGTTCCTAGGATTAAAGCAATGAAATATGAGGGTGGCAGAATATGCAGAAAAGTTTATAGAGCTCGCTCGGTTCGCGCCCAACTTAGTAGCAGATGGAAGCCTAGGAGCCAGGAA